GAAACTGACACCATAGTTTGGGGTTTTGCTCCAGGCTGTGGGGGCTGGTTTTGCCTGGTTTTGGTGGTTTCTGGGGCTAAAGCCGCTCTGGTGGTGCCGGTTGTGGCCCTTGCTGGTGTGTGGCTGCACTGTCCCGAGGCACCTCGGGGACGTGTGTTTGTGTAAGTGTACTCCCTAAAACGGTCCTCAGAGTGTTATGGATGAAGCTGGACTCCTCCCAGCCTATGGCTGAGGTTGTGAAAACTAGATGAGCTTTGAGAATTTAAGCTGATGCCACATTTAAATATTTGTTGTAAAGCATTCAGAAGACATGCTTTCGGAGCAGAAAGGTCAAACCTCCCAGCTTCTTGCTTTTGCGTGTCTTTCTCCTGAAGGATGAGGTATTAATGTGTTCTTTAAAGGCCCTGAGATTTTGCTGCTTTTTTGTCGTCTTTAATGTTGGCAATGTGATAGTTAATGCAGATTGTGTAACAGCGTGTCTAGAAGAGGTGGTGTCTGCTCATATCTGCAAGTGACTTTCTCTTTCTGAATGTCACATGGAGCAGGAACCACCACGTCATTGTCGTTGCTTCATCCAAGTATGTAGTACCAATTTGAAAGGAGAACAAAGACTTTGTGTCCTCAGAGGGCACATGAAGGTGAACATCCTGATGGACCCTTTTAGGGTTGGTCTGTGTGAGCTTGTGACACAATAGAAATCGGATGATTTATTTCCTTGAGTGGAAGGCTGTAGTTGTACTTATATTATTAATAAATGTCCATTTAAAAGGACATTGAATGTCCTTAAATGTTAAAAGGAGTTTGAATGTCAGGATACCACGGGCACAAATCAGAGGTAGGGGATCTGGGCTGCTGAAGCTAGTACTCAAACCACAGAAACAGGGAACCACAACCTTAAAGGCAGATGCAAAATGCTTAGTAAAAGTTTGCAGTGTCTTTGGTTTGCACTTGTTGAATCATGTGTGCTTAGATTTCATTTGGTTAGCACCTACCACTGTGGAATCCTGAGCCATGGTGAGCCCTTCAAGTGTTTTCCACAAAATAATGGGTTGGTTTTTTGTTTTGTTTATTTAAAAAAAAAAAAACAACAAACCCAAACCCAACAAATTCAGTATTATGCTCTCTGCTTCCCAAACATACAATAAGAGTAATGCTTTATTGATTTGCAACTTACCAGCAAAAATGAAAGAGCAACGTTTCCAGTGAACTAAAAGCAATGGAATTTTGCTTCTAAAAAATGGGAACTTGGTGCACTGGTGGAAATTGAATTTGTCTACAGAGATGCAGATTAGACATAACACTGTTCACTTTTCTTTCACCATTTATAGGTAAGAAGTAAGAACAATTTACTGGTTTATTTAGCTTATGCATCTCTGAAGTGAGAGTAAAGTTTCGGTTAGATATATGTCTACTTTTAAAGTAGAATGGCCCCTTCTTTAAGGAATATGGCCATAATATGGCTGCCCAAGTACAGCCTACATGCAGGCTAAATGGCAGGTATAAATCAGTGCTTCCAGTGTAGTTTGAACTTTTTTGTGTGTGTAGCTAGCAAAGATTTCCTTTTAATAAAAAACAAACAAAAAAAAAATCTCAGGGCAGAAATCATTTTCTGCCTTAAAGTACCATGCCATCTTTTTTTGTTGCTGGTATCCCTGCCTTTTGGGGCAGTAAGTGGACCAGTGTAGAGTCTGTGTGTGTTTCCCTCATAGCCACCCCTCCTCTAATCTCTTCAAATAAAATGTGAAGAATTAGGGGGGACATACATATTGCTCTCCTTATAGTTTAAATGCTACCCTTCTGTAGGATGAATGTCACGAGAGACTGCTTTCTTCTTATGAATTGTAGGCAGAGCTCACCCCTCCTGAGATGCTTCACAGAAGTGAGGCACAGCTGGGTGTAAGGACGGGATGCTGCCTGACATTTAACACTGTATTGCAGCTCAGCTGCTTTTAGACATATCTGAGTCGTTCCTTGTGCTGTGCAAATACACCATACTGTTGTGTATACTGAGAGTTCTTAATACACAGTGGTATTTTGAAATTCAAAGATTTCTTAAAACTTCAGGGTTTGACATTGTGATAAGCCGATATTGAAGGATAAGGCTCTTCAGAATTCCTTTAAAAAAAAAAAAATGAAGGGAAAGAATAAAACCAGTTATTTTTACCCATGTTATAAAAGATATTTTTTTTCCCCTTTCCCATTCCATAGCACCTTCTGTGTCTGCAGCAGCAGGTAGCCTAACAGGCTACCTCTAAAGCTGTACTTACATCAATTGCTGATGCTAGTTCACAAACAAAGATGGACTGTTTTGGTAAGACAAGGCTCCATTGAAGTTACTGCTAATAAGCAAACTAGCTCTGTTCACTTCAGTCCTATTCAAAACACAGGAAAAGGATCAATCTTTGCCAAACTTGAAATGCTGAAACTATTACAGAGGATAAAAATTATTTACTTCAAGTGGGTGCAAAACATATTTTCAAAATAAACACTGAAGCCGAATTTCACTCTTACCACATATATTAATCATATTCTGTGTAGGCATGAAATATAGAAAGTGGTTAGCTTTGTATTCCTTCATTTTATTAATGCAGGTTTGTTCTAACTAACATTTAATATAAGCAGTGCTTCTCAAGTACCAGCTTAGATGCCAGATACAATGTGCCTTCTCACTGTGAAGCGTTACTCTGTAGCTTAGTTTATTCTTAGCAAAAGGGCTTGCCTCTTTTAGTATTTCCCTAATGCTTAAAGAAAACAAAAAACCCAAAACCCTGAAATAGTCATAGATGCGATTGACTATTTGGTTTTAAATTGTTGTACCTCCACTTCTTTAAACAGAAGCTTATGTTAATCTTTGCCAGTAGTGCAATACATTTTCATATTTCTGTAGCTAATTGTTTTACTAGTTTAGCATTTTTGAGTGCTGTAGAGCTGGATCGATCATCTCCTGCTTTAAGCACTGCTCCACGATACACTGGGTGATTCCTCTGAGAAGAGTCACTCTAGTCATGTCATAGGCTCAAGTTCCATTTTCACATGCTGCTGCAGGTGAATTAGTCTAACGAGATGTGGACATTCCTCAGCATGTAGTCTGGGGGGGTTGGGGCTTTTGGTTTGTTTGTTTGTTTGTTTTAATACCCTTGAGTACGTACCCCTCCTATGCTTTTACTGGTCCATGTAAAAGCCCAACTGATTGAGCTTAGCCTTGTTTGAGTGCAGTAGAGCTCTACCCCCCCTTTTAGAGCTGGAAATGAAATTCAGGGCTAAGAGTGGGTGTGTTGCTGGGGGAGCTGCTTGTCCCTGGTACCATGGGCAGATCTGTCTGCACCCTGAGCCCAGGCTGCACAGAAGACTCTGAGGTCCTCTCTGCTGTGCTCTGCTCTGGGGTGGGCTGCTGCCATCCTCTAACATATACCTACCCTCTTTGCTCTGCTTGGGTTTATCTGCATTGCTGAGAGAACAAAGGTAGTGCAATATGATTTTTTTTTTTTTTTTAATCAGTATGAGCCTTGGGTTTTATAAAATTTTGTTATGACTCTTCTAATCCTCTGGCCCCTGACTAAATTAATTATCATTCAACTAGAGCCCACATGGCTCCATTGCTGAGGCAGCAGTGACAGGGTTGTGTTCATTGTGGGGGTTTTTTCTTCTCCTTTCTCAGCTTAAATGCTGCATTAATGGAGTCTCTGACATGTCTTCTGGTACCACTGTGCAGCAGCAAGATCTGCATCCAAATCTGAGATGTTCCTATCATATTTAGTGTATTATTTGGCAGATTCCCATAATGGAGCCTGTTAAAAAACAAGCAGTCTAGGGAAATCAAACTTGCCAACCTTGAGACAGTAATTCCTAGAAAGAGACGCTGGTTACACCATTAAATCCTTTTTTCTCTGCATGGAGATAATCGCTAAGGAAGGAATTGGGCTGGTGGTCAGCTCCACTTGTACAGTCAACACTCTCTCATTCAAGATTGCTTGAGGCAGACACAAACATGCTCAGGCCGGGTCCTTGCAGGCTCTCAAGATCCAGCAGGGTTTATTAACTCAGGCTCAGTGCCAAGCAAATGCAACTCCACTGCTCCCAGACCAAGTAGGATCTGCTGTTTTGGCACGGAGTCCGAGCTGTTAAAGCTTGCCAAGCGTGAAGGGTGCAGACCCGGGTCCAGTGCTGTTCTCAGACCCAGGAGCTCTGGAAACACCTTGTGGGTATCTGACCATATGGACCATCAGGGCTCATTAGATCAAGAAACGGATTCAGCCCTGTTAAACTTGAGCTTGCCTCTGTGTGTTTTTGTTTTGGTCATCTTTTTAGGTTGTTTTTTTAACGGTTTTTTAAATTGTGGGGAGGAGGGTGGTTTTTTGGAGGTTGTTTTTAAACTCTAGCTGTGAGTTCTGGGAAAACTTAGTAGCTTGGTCAGCCCCAGGCTCAGCTAATGCTTTCTGTGTTTGCAGTGTGGCACACGAGGAGCTGCTTGGAAGCAGGCTGCAGAGGCACTGAGCTTGCTGAGCAGGAACCAGCTCAAGGCTAGCACTGAGTCAGAGCTGCTAGACTGATGATCCTAAATTCACTTAATTTCTCTGTGCTGTGATTCCCAGCACATTTTGCAGTGAAGCAGTATCCAAACGTTTTCACTGCCTGCTTTCTCACAGCCTGTATGAGCTGTAATAGTGGAGCGCTGACCATTACACCCAAAGCATGGAGTGCTGGATGGGTGCTGCTAGTCAGGACTCCTGTTGGGGTACGTGTGGTACATGGACTGAGACTATACATTTAATAACTGCAGATGTCATTAGCTTTTCTGTTTGGATTTGAAAATACTCTCTGGAAAAATTGCAATATGCTTGGACTAAGTCAAAATAATTCGAAGACAATATGTTTGATAGCCTGTGGATTATTACAGTACTTGAAATTAAATTTCCTCAATTCATAAATGCTTGCTTACCTTTTCCAAGCAAAAGGTCATAACAGCTCTTCTGGTTTGTTTTTTTTTTTTTCATATGCAGGTGCAGCTGGGACAAGCGGATATAAAATGCCCCATCACAGAGTGTAGCGAACACCTGGATGAAACAACTGTCCTCTATAACCTGCCCCACGACGACATCATCAAATATAAATATTTCCTGGAACTCAGCCGCATCGACTCCAGCACCAAGCCATGCCCTCAGTGCAAGCACTTTACAACCTTCCGGAGGAGAGGCCACATTCCTACCCCTGCCAAATTGGAGAACAAATACAAAGTGAGCATGCTTGCATGGGGCTGCAAAAGTGGGATGGCATTTGGTGGGCATTAAATGAGCTTTCTTGCATCACTGGGGCTGTGTGCAAGCTGTGATTAGGAATATAAATGTGTAGTACATCACTGATTAACTACTTAAGTGTTTTCTAACAGTTCAAACAGTTGAACTTAAGTCCTTCTTCCTTTGGCAAGTGGCATAATTTTGTCCTGACACAAATATAGAGTGTTTTTTCTCTCTGACGTGCAAACAGTATGGTCACCATCAGAAGAGACTGTGGAAGGGAGGTTGTCGCTCTAATGGACAATTTTAGACACACAACTCTAGCAAAGATAAGCTTTCCCTGAAGCTCTGAGCAAGTGAATTGTGGGCATTTATGGTATTACACTGTTGGCTTGTTCCTTCCTTAAAACTCGAGCTTTTGTGTGTCCCACTTCTTTGTTTTGATTTCTTCAGTCCCTTACCAGAGGTTATACCTTACTGTAGTCTCATCACTCTCAATACAGAAAACTTGAGAAATAGGAAAAAAAAAAAACACTTTTACAGCATTTCTTTTAGTGGAAGATTTGCTTATACTATGATACCAACCAAAGGTAAAAAGCAAGAGATTAGTTAGAAGCAGCTTTGGGCTGTTGAATGTCCATTTCAGTTCTAGAAGGTGAAGATTCTGTCTGCAGCATCATGCTCTGTGTTAGTTTTCCATCCGGTTATTAGATTTGTTGTGGTTAATTTCATGATTGAGCTGGCCTTTCCTGGACAAACCAGTTCTCCTCAGCAGGAGTTTAGATGACTGTTTAGATAGCCCTAATTACACAGCATAAGATTCAGCCCAATATGGAGATTAAAAGGTAGAAGGTTGTGTATCCAGTGGAGCTGAAACTTTGGAAAAGCTAACTCTGAGTTATGAGCTACTTATGTGTATCTGTGCAGTGCATGACTTACGTGCCACAATGTCTGTTGGACTTGACATTTTCAGGTTTTTTGGCATCTTACTCGGAGGTGGAGAAATGCAAAACTGCAGGTAAAATTCCTTCCACCCACAGCCATTCTTCTTCACCCATCCACTTAGCATTCCCTCAGGTGTAGACAGGATGTGTGGTCCAGGGTAGATAAGATGTTGTAATGCTTCTGCAGCAGCCTCTCTTAAGGTACCAGAGGCTGTTACTGTCCCACTGATGTGGGTCACAGGTGGTGCAGCTGTTGTATCATGGGATGCCAACTCTGAGAACATTCCCCAAGGCACAAAATGGGTCATTCTGCCCACCAGTGCTCTTCTATGAGTTAAAATACTGTAGCAAAAATGTTTCCACCACTTCCCTAGAAATCATAATTGGAAGAAATGGGAGGCTGTGTGATGCATGAAATTGTGCAAGCCAGAAGCAGTTCCCTGGTCCTGTAGTGACGTGTTACGTGTAGCTCTCACCTACAGAGCTCAAGTCTTCTCCTGGGAACAGATTCTGGCAAAATGTGTCCTTTGAGCTCTGGCCAGGTGTTGCCTGGAAGAACGTCTGGTTGATGCTGGTCAGAAATATAATTAGGAGAGTGCTAGCAAACAGCATGGGTGACCATAGTCCAGGGCTTCACCCTACTCCCTGAAGCTGTGTTGTTTTCTGGCATAGGTACAGTTTTAGTGACTTATTTTAAGCTTAGCACCAGAAAGAGTTTTGCTGCAGGGGTAAGATTTAAAAGGGAGGCTAGATTTAAGATTGTGTATATGTGATTAATTACATGCATGCATAGCTGTTGACCAGTATTTGTTTTCTTAGATTCTTACGTGATTGTTTGTAACTGGTCTGTGCCTTGAATTATAGGCTCTTTGGAGGTAGAGATTCATTTTCTTCCACATATAGCATAGGAGACATCTGACTAGAGACTGGGAGACTTGCATATTCACATGCAAGCAGTAAAAACAGCAATTGCACCAGAGGAAATCTGCGTCAGCACTGGAAGTGCTGCCTTCAGAAGAACTGAGTCATGCGTGGGGAAAGTCTACGCAGAAGCCTACTCGTAGGATCACTGCACACAAGGGCTCTGTGCCAGTACCTTGACTCTCCCGTCCACTGCAAAAGGAAAACACTGTAAAATCCAAGAGTACATTTAAACAGATACTTTTGAAAGGTTATTAATGACATTCCTAAAATTTGATACAGTATTTGAAATCATAAATAAACTTAACATCTAAATATAAAGCTATTAGGTAGATTAATTTTCCTTACTATAGCTGGTTTATGTGAGCTAAACTGATATAAATAAGCCCAGCAGTTCAGTTTGCTGTTGCTGCTGTTTTTCAGTTTTGAGATCAAAGTCTTGGTGTGCTAAGCCTAGAAAGTTAGCTGGTGCATGTATGTTGAGAGAGAAGGAGGGGAAGAAAAGGGAAACTTTTATATCCAAACCTTTCTTCTCCCATTAGTGCCACTTAAGACAGCACAGTACATCAGTGTGACTATTTAGTTTCCTATATCAAATATTTGTAGCACAAATGGGTCTGGCTTTAAGTAAGGAAATACCCCTTTGCCATCTCTTATGACCTAAATTGAGACTGTAAGACTTGGTGGTAGACAAGATCCTAATTAACCTTTGGTCATAGCTGGTATGCCAAAGTGCAGAGGAAATGGGCAAAAACTGGTAGTTCAGTTTCTGTGAATGGAACAGATACAGATTTTTAGAGTAAGTATGTTGGCTTGTTCTTGTCAGAGTTTGTTGAATTTTTTTTATGGGGAGCGTGGACATTTTTTTTCCCCTAAAATCTGGATTCCACTTGTTGTTTTAATGTTAGTTCTTTGAACTGCCACGAAGAAGCAGTTTTTGATTGGAGTTTGTTGAGTTTTTTTTATGGGGAGTGTGGACATTTTTTCCCCCTAAAATCTGGATTCCACTTGTTGTTTTAATGTTAGTTCTTTGAACTGCCACGAAGAAGCAGTTTTTGATTCTTGGACTCTTTCTGCCTTATCAACCTGTGAAGTTCATAATGAAGTTTTCCTGTTCACTTCTGTCAAGAGATACACATCACGTAAAAGAAGGGCTTGAGTGCTTGGCTTTGGAAACGTAAATGTTTTTTCAATGCAGTTGTTATATAAGCTATCTTTTGTTTGAACTACTCAAGAGTTTCTGAAACATTTTGTACTAGAACCAGTAGGGATCTCTACCTGCAAAGATGCTGTGATAAAGTGGATCTGTGTAGTTCATATCAGTCTCTTCCCCTCCTTTTTGGATCAGATTTTATCCTTGAGTAGCAGATCTCTTCATGGCTACGCATCACTTTGGTCTGCTTTGAGCCTGAACTGTTCCGGACACGGTGATTTTGCCGTGCTCTCCCTCTTTGCTGTTCATTCCTGCCAGCTTGCTTTTGCTCTTGTTGATATTTTGGTGTCACACTGGGAGCTGGATCAAAGATCAGCTCCAATGGAATACAAGACTTGTTTGTTTTGTTGTTGCATATTTTCAGCTGGTGCAACAGAATGGATGGGTTGGTGATGAGGAGGTGGCAGCTGTTTTGGCAGGAGCCCATATTTATTTTGGAATAAAGTGACTGGGTAGCTGTAGCTAGAGATTATAATTCATGTAATCAGTTAGTTGCACAATTAATTTCCCCATCCTGTTATATAGGATTCCACTAAACAGCAGAAAATCCCACTAAGCTTTTTGCAGCTTCAGGCTCTCAGAATATTTTTAATGTGCAGTCAATTTTGCTATCGTCATCTCTCTTACCTACCAATTTGAAAGGTTTTTTCCTGGGAGGTGAGGAAAATGACAGTTAAAATAGTTTGCAGTAAAGAGAGTAGCTAAGAAAATGGAAAATGTTAGCCTCAAAGGTCAGTGTTTTAGAAAGCTGAGAACCAAAAGGGTTAGTAAGAGAGGTTGTGTAATCTTTTCTATTTCAAGGGAGACTGACCTCCAGATGGCATAGAAGTTCGTGTATGTATTCGTCCTCTCAATTCTGATTGACTGAAATGGAGGTCGTAAAACAAATGGAAAAATGTTTGTGTGAGGAAAAACATTTGAAAAAAGACTAGATTAATGTTTTGGGTTTTTTGGGTTTTTTTTCAGATTATAGTTTGTCGTCTTTGCTGGACTATAATATATTTTACTGCTTTAAATTATACGTAAATAGCATTTCTGTGTGTTCATTGTGATGATTTCACGCACTAAAACAGAAGCATAAAGCAAATTGTACTTGACTTTTTTCTTTCAGAAAAGCAGAAAAAGAATGGAATAAGAATTTGAAAGACTGCTGTAATTGCAATTGCCCTGTTGTGTTTCTTAAGCACGCTGTTGTCACACTGCATCCAAGTTTGCATAGGTTTAGGGTTTTGTTTTGTGGCCACTAGTTCCAAGAAAAATAAGGTTCACATTTTCTTTGCCTGCTTAATGTATGTTCAGACAGTATTGAACATCAGAGAAGTCAAGTGGTCCATTCAAAATGTAAAAACTATTTACCAGTTCAGTTTTGTGGAAGGTGGTGTCAGGGGCAGCAGGTGGAAGAGGAAATGAGGATCTCCAAACCTGGTAATGAAGTAGACAGTTCCCACTTGTTTACTTCAGCTAGGGCCATTCATGGTAACAAATGTTATTCTGAGTTCATGTGGTTATAGCCTCATCGGGTATTTCAGTACTTTCTAAGTTATTTATTTGGAAACATCTGATGTCAGTGTGCATGTAGAAGAGTAAATATGAATCCTGGTGGCTGCTGTATTTCTTGAAATTATATACATGCTATAATAGAAAGATAGAGCCTGCAATGAATTTGTCAGATTTTTACCAAACAACAAAACCAAGCCCGCAAAACCTATGTTTTAAATTATGATGGCATTTTGATGGCATATTATGATTTTGTTTAAGTTTTAACTTGCAGCTTCTTAGACCTGTTGATGTGTGGTTTTTAGGTTTTAGCATTCATGTTCTATCTCAAATGTCTGAATACTACAACTGATAAAAGCTTTATGACTGCAGAACACTTAATTGTGGCTACAAGCTTCATCTTTGGCCAAGGCGTAAGAAATACTGAGTAGTACAATGCGATGCCTGCAATAATCTGTCTTCCCAGCAGTAGGTCACTGTGACATCCATTAGTGAAAAAAGTAAATTCAAAGCCTCAGGAGGGAAGAAGAGGGGGAAGGAAAAAAAAAAATAAATATCTGGAGATACTGGGCAGAGTAGATGCTAGTTATCTAATCTATTTTGTTCATATTGATAAGGATCTGGAGATACTGGGCAGAGTACATGCTAGTTATCTAATCTATTTTGTTCATATTGATTTCTAAAGGTTTTAGGAAACGTAACTCTATGTTAGTTTGGTTAATAGCAATAAATATGCTATTCTTTAGGTACTTCAGAGTGGAAATTTTCCTTTCCTAGTAAACTGTTTTTATTAGGAGAATTCATCTGGGAAGTAGAGATGCAGGGTAGTGTATTTCTTTTGGTTTAGCATCTGGCCAGTATACCAAGAAATCAGAGACAGGGCACTGGTTATATTTTTCTATTGCTTTTGTTTTATAATTTATCTTGGCCTTAGACATTACTGTGTTTCCATGCAAAAACTAATATTACTTGTAACCCACACAGTGTGTGGATTACAAATAATATATTTAATGTGTTGTTTCACAAACAAGCTTCATTTGTTGTTCTTTCCTGGTTTTGTGCTGCCTACCAGCGTCTTCAGTAACTTATTTCATTGACAGGAAGCATGTGCTAAGTGTAGTTTTCTTCTGTGTGAGGTGTGTCTTAGCAAAAATGTCACTCTGTGGCTATAGAAAGCAGTAAGTCATGTTTGCACCAGGTACAGGATATCAGAATTTTATCTGTTACAATATTACACTCTGACTCTGCTTGATTTAAAGGAAATGTATGTATTCTAATACTTAAGTTCTCTTGTGATTTTTTTTTTTTTTTTTTCCCAAGGGTAATGACTAGTAGATGGTAACTGACTAAAATGTTACTGTGTTGTAATAAGAAGCAAATTTGTCAACTTCTTGATGCTGCTTCCCTTCTTTGCACTTGGCCTTATGGCCAGGCAAGGGATCCTGGTGGGGGACATGCTGTTTTATGGGTACTGAGAAAATTAGTAATTCTCTTGACCTTTAACTCCCACTGTCGCATTTGCTGATCTGTAGATATGGATTGGCATAAAGAGGTAAGCGTTGATCACGACATCTTTGAGTCCACCATTAAAAGTAAAATACTTGGTTAAAAACAGCGATGCACAGACAGATGTACATCACTTTGTACAAATGAAGCTATGGCTGTTACACACTGCTGCAGTGTTTAAAAACAAACAAAAAAGAAAAACCAAAACAACCACTGACAAAGGGGTCAGGTAGGGTCATAAAAATGCTCAGTTTGAGCCATTGTGTCTATTAGGTTTTTAATGTGAAACATTAAAGGCAAAATACTAGATGCTGTCTCTGTGTATGGAACTTGGGGAATAGCATTAAGGGTAGCAGACGGCTTCATTTCTCAGTCATGCATCAGAGATCAGATCAGCTTTGTATTAGCTTGCTGGTCGTGACGGAAGTAGGAATTGCACGTATAAATAATAATTTTGGCCATCCCCCAGCAAAATGCTTAAGGGAGATCAGAGTGCCTACGTTGGAGTCTCACTGGAGCTGAGGCAGCACACCACCAGTTGACGTGTCTGAGCAGAAGGCATGGCAACCGGTGGGAGTGAGGACTTTGGAAATTCATTCTGGGGACTTCACATGTGACTACAGCCTAGGATGTAGTTTCCCGAACAGTACCCCCACACCACACACAGCCAACACAGACACGTCCATGGTTTGGTGGTAAACCAGGCCTGGACACAGATACAACCAAAAAGGTGGCTTTTTGGCTGGTTGAATTCCTCAGTCACATCCACCAGCTGGTACAAAGCCAAGGCAGTGCCAGGTATGGGCTGCAACTGGAGCTGATGGACTGGGCTTGGCAGTCACTTGAGAGGGGTGCCTTCCTGACTTTCATTTTTCTGCCAAACACAGCAGAAGTGAAGGTGTTGCAGGTGCCTAGATGTGCCTGTGTATAATGTTGCTTCTAATTCTTGTTTTCCTTAGTCACAATCCAGGTAAGAGGCCTGGCTTTCATTGGATAAACACCTGCAATGTGCCTGTATTTATTCCTTCTACAAACACAGCAGCTGCCATAGCTTTTTTCAAAAAAAATAGCCAGGCTCTGAAGGAAGACATAATGACAATGGTACCTGTTTGACGCAATGATTTAAAACCCAAGGAGTGGGAAGAATAGATCCATTCTCAATTCAAGGAGCTTGGCTTGTGGTTTTACCATTAGGTGTGGTCTGTACCAGGCGGGCTGTTTGGCACAACCTCAGCTCACCCTTACACAATCAAGAGCAAAAGGAGGTGCCCGACTTCCAGGTGGCAGTTGTGGTGGTTTTAAAATGGGCTTTCCAGTTGGGTTAGCGCCCACCTTGCAAACGTGTGGTGTTTTCTCATTTATACAGATCCAGTGTCCATCTTGCCAATTTGTCTGGTGTTTCAAGTGCCACTCTCCCTGGCATGAAGGCATTAACTGCAAAGAATACAAGAAGGGAGACAAGCTGTTGCGTCACTGGGCCAACGAAATCGAACACGGGCAGAGGAATGCCCAGAAGTGTCCAAAATGCAAGGTGAGCTGCTCTCCCTTGACTTGCAGGTAGTGGCTTCAAACCATTTAAATATGTATTTAAAGTAAGTATTTGAAGCTTCTGCTCAGCGCTGGAAATAGAATTCTCACTTGCTGTGCAGGTTCTTGTTGATGACTGACTGAGGAAAACTGATCAGGTGTTGTACTTGCTGGTTCCTGCACTGGTTCTGCAGAATCTGTGCACATAAAAGAAACATTAGAGAAATCCTAAGAGGAGGTTTTAATGTGTGCTTGTAATGAATGTGTGTTATGGTACAAATTTTTCCTAAAGTATAGCTTTAAATAAATGTGAAGTTATAAGACAAATACGGTGTCCTTTGACAAGTTTTCCAGGGCTTGGGTGAATTGTTTCAGAGTAAGGCAGAAAGTACTCTGTCAATGAGTTAACTAAGGCAGACTTTAAGATTTGGCAAAACAGAGGTTTTTTAGAATTAAATGTCAGTTCTTCACAAGCCTTTCTCATAAATCAGTTTCATTTTCAACAAACTGAAGTGCAGTCCTATGCCCTAAAAACATTATTAATCTCTTCCAGGGTAGGAAATAATTCCTACTGCTCAGATGAGATGCTATAGGCCCACACACCTTTGCCCTGGCTGCCCTTAACGAAGGTGGCCGTTACATTTCTTTGCTATTTTTCAAAGCACTTATCTCCAGCTACTGATGGAGTACTAAGTCAAAACATTGAGAGCATCATGGTGGTGGGAGTCTCTTTTTTTTTTTTCTCTTTCTGAAAGGGAGTACTTAAACCTGAACTTATCTATTGCTCTACATCTACTTCACAGAGAGGACAAATTAAAGAAATAGGAACACTTGCTAGGAACTAAATTCCACAGTATACTTTTTCACAATATGACCCTTACCTTCTACAAATAGGACAATGTTTGGCAGTTTACTAAGTATCTAAGTATCTTATTTTGGTCTTGAGGAAGAAATGCCTGTCATGTCATAGTTTGAAATTGAAAGATTTCAAAATACTAAGCAAAATTCAGAAAGCTCTGAAATCAGCAGTTGGTTGTTTACCCTTCCTTCCATGCACATGTGACACTTGAACAGAGTTTTAACAGCTTGCCTTTTGGTAAGAGTTGAGAGGTTTGAGCCAGTTCTAAAAATGTTCATTTTCTGCGAAGTCTTACACCAATACGCTTTTAGAAACTTTGTTCCTTTTGAAGTGGGAAGAAGTATCTGTTTTGCTCTTAATCCTTTAATTTGTGTCCAGATTAAGATTTTCTGACAATGCGAATGATGTAGCTATTGAAATAAGTTGAAAAAAATGTACCAAGTGAAAAAGTATGACTGTGGAAAACCAAGGGAAAGAGGGCTGTTAACTGGAAAGAGAAAGTAATTAGAACTGCTAACTCTGTGCTGTTTTTAATAAGTTTTAAATTTTAAAATATCAAATGTGCAACTGTTTTCCCCATCTTCAATGTAAAAGGCTGGATGCTTGAAACTTACGCAGGTTAAGATGTGCAACTGTTTTCCCCATCTTCAATGGGGCTTGATGCAGGCTGGATGCTTGAAACTTACGCAGGTTAAGTCACTAATTTTGAAACCTGAAGTTGCATGAGTTTGATAATTAATTCCAAAAAGACTTTAGGTTTCTTTCCACACTGCCTCCCACCATTTTTTTTATTTTCTTTTGATTATAAAAAGTTATGAAATTAGCACAGGAAAAGAACCTGTGTTAACAAGTCTTTTCAGGTGATGTGGTACTCTAAGTGAATATCAATGAGGGAGTTCAACCTTTTCATAAACCATATCACTACCCACATTCCTGATATTTTCTGCAGAGGTGAAAAAAGTTCTTCCTGCCTACAGTCTCCAAAATGTTTTACTGCCTCCACCATTTTTTCTGCAGAGGTGAAAAATGTTCTTCCTGCCTACAGTCTCCAAAATGTTTATATCAACACATTGTTTTTAAATCAAATCTATAACCAGCAAGTAATCAAAAGAACCGCTTAGCCAGCGGTTACTGGTACTCTTCTTTTTCTTTTTTTTTTTTTTTTTCCCTTGATCTGTTATTGAGTAGTTATAGAAAACACATCTTGTGCAGCATTCATTATCTTCATCACAGCATTAATAGATGTCTGGGCATGTGGAGATAAACGTACCAACAGTTAATTTGGGGTTGGGGATTGGAGCCAATATTTTCTCTGCCTCTCTCTCTAGCCACCCCCTCCATATAAAATGACAAAAAATCAGGTGACTGTCATATTTCTAAATAAAATAGAGAAAAGAGTGACAGAGAAAACAGAGTTGGTAATATACTATTTGATTCATCCTTCTCCTAGATCCACATAGGCAGTGTTTCAGGTGACAACATATTTTATTTTGATATGTGCATATATTTTATTTAAAGAACCTCTTTCATGTTTTGGTTTAAAAACTTGCAGCAATCAAAATTGACAGATTGAGAAAAGTCAATAATAAATTATGTGTCAAGATATTAATATTTAATCTTTATGCTAAAACTGAAGCTAGCAGAAATTGAAGGTAGAAGCTTCAGTAGAGGTAGAAATTCTTTGTGAGAGAAATTGTGAAATTACTGGTACCTTCCAAAGTGTCACACTCATTACAATGTAAACTGTGGCCATACTTTACAGATACTATATATACATTAGATATCATTACATGTATTTTATATATATTTTATATATATATTATTATATATACACACAGACACCCATATGTACACAGAGACTCTTTAAGTAGCTGTACCACAGAAGCAGAATGCACACTTATTATCTTGTCTGGGCATGCAGGTGAGAAAACAAGAGTGCTCCTTTGGGGGGGTGTGTGTGTATGAGGCAGATCCTTAGGCAAGTATTCACAAGTTGGTTTTTTTTCAGTGTTTTTGGTAAGTGCTTTGAAAGAACATAATCCTTTGTAAGTGAATACTAGCGGGCACTGTTAAATAAGCTTAAACTAGGATTCCTTTTCCCTGTAGTTGTACACAGCTTTAGCGTACCTAATAGAAATAACTTATATTTACCTAGTCTTTCAAAGATATGCTCACATAAGCAAATAAAAATGTTACACAATATCAAAATATGTAATTGTAGATTTAGTTTGTAATTATATATCAGTATGGAAATACCACAAAATGCTACTTTTTTAAACTATATCTTAAATTAATTTTGACTTCTTTTTTAATAGAGCCTTTTCCGAATTTATTAAATTGCTATTTTGAGAAACTCAGCATAGACCATTTTTCTTAACAAGAGTTGTCGAAAAAGTGCTGATCATCTTCTAGAGAAAGCTGGCTAATGAGGGAAAATTTGCTACATTTTATGAGATGCCTTTTCATAAAACCTATAACCTTTCCTGCTACTCTTCTAGCGTTTGGGGGTTTTTACAGTTTCTTGTAAAAATGTGTTTGTAGCAATTTGTCTTTCCTGCTACTCTTCCAGCGTTTGGGGGTTTTTACAGTTTCTTGTAAAAATGTGTTTGTAGCAAAACGCATTTTTTCCACAAGTGTTTTTACAGTTCAGCAAACCAAGGAAGTACTTCGTGTTGGTGTTATCTTACCACAGATTTCAAAAACAACACTGTCTGAGGAAACACCAAACAGTGGCTCTGGCTTAGACAGCTTTGAACAACAGCAGAAATTTAAGTAAACAAGGATGTTACTGTAAATCAGGGAGTATATACATCTTATCTGTGGATTCACTGTTCTGATTAATATGAGCGTTATCAAATAACTTGGGGCATAGTTTTTGAAGGTGATCTGAGAATTATTTCCTGACCTCTGGAGGGAGGAGGGTCCTTGCTTCTATATGAAGGGATAAAGCTATGCACTAGGTTTTCTTCAGATAGTGGAGGAGAAATGGCCACTCTGATTCCAAGAGATCTGAGGAAGAATTTCCCTTGGAAGATTTCTGTGAGAGTAACATACAGAGGGAGTAAAGTGAGGGTGTGAAATAGCCACTGTGCTATTTCAGTTGTTTCCTTAAGATTCTGAGCTCTGTGTGCTTTGCTGCTGGTGTGTCATTTTTACCCCTCTTGTTCTGGGAGCTGTTCTTGGGTTTCTGAACGAGGAAACCTTTCCCCATAAGGTGAGGGATACGTCTTTGGGTCTGGGGGCAGGCTCTGGGTGCAGGATGAAGTCAGTAAGAATGACTGAATGCTTGTAGACAGAAACTGGGCTTGCAGTTGTCATTGCTCTCACCTTGCCTTCTCCATCCCCACCGTGCTGCTGGGGGACCCTGCAGGACCCAAAGGCCCAAGGGACCAAACTCCAAAGGCCCAAGGGACCAAACTCCAAAGGCCCAAGGGACCAAACTCCAAAGGCCCAAGGGACCAAACTCCAAAGGCCCAAGGGACCAAACTCCAAAGGCCCAAGGGACCAAACTCTCCCAAAGGCCCAAGGCACCAAACTCCACAGGCCCAAGGCACTAAACTCCACAGGCCCAAGGCACCAAACTCCACATGACCACAGCTAACTATAGTGACCCATGTTCCCCTGGATGCCTGCTGCATGCCGGGGTGTCACCGACAGAACAGGAACACTTGTGGTGATATCTGACCCATCGGTGATCGCTTTCCCAACTATAGATTCATAACCCATCTCTGTCAGTGGATTATCCTGAGGGGAGGGAGGCGCGTCCATGTGAACCAGAGCTGAAGCTGATCTGGTGAGATGTCATGTCTCAGGCTTGAGAGCAGCCCCACTGAATCATACAACCTTCATCTGGCACTGTCAGTCTGCGTGCACGTGATAGGGAGTCCAAGCCCTACATCTAAGGTTGGAGGGCTTTTTAATTTGTTTTTAAATGAAGCTTTTCCTCACTAAAAATGGAAAAGTTTTTTTACAACAAAAATGCAGGCAAGCACAAAAAGTTGTTCCAAATTTGCAGCTTTTGAAGACAGTTATATATGTGCAGATAAGTAATCACCGAAAACTTTTTAATACTTTGCTTTTTGAAGAAGCCAACATAAATTGCATGTAATTGCAATATGTGTCCATAAGAAAAGAAATCCTGTGTGAACTTCATGTTTTAAGAGGATAGTATGTCTGGAGGTTTTAGAACAGAAACAAGTGGGTTCTGAAGTGATTCAGAAGTCGTACCAGGATAACTGGAGCTGGGGTGTTTCTAGGAAAGTGTGGGTAGAAGGATGGCAGGCGGTGTTCAAGAGGTGGGTATTTCTGAAAGGTATGGTTGGTAGAAAGTGTAAAGCTATTGCCAGCGGCTCCTTGAAGTTAAGAACTTCAAGAACCAAAGAAAATTAATTTATTTTTGAAAAGTTGAAGTAGTTCTGGTTTGCATCTTGGGCTTTTATAGGTTCTAGGCTTCTACAGATTTTCAGTTGGGATGGATGGCAACTTACCAACTAGATTGGGTTGGTAAGTTGGAGAAGAGAAAGAAAAATCCAACAGTCTTTATTCAAAAAGAAAAGAAAACAACCAGTTAATTCTCATTAGTATCATAAGGTCTAATTCCCTCATTTACATTTTTAAGATGGAGATATGTCACTGAATCGGCAGATAAGGAAAGGCACCTCTAAAATTGCAAAATGCTGCATAGTTGCTGTCTGAATTTCAGTCCCCTGAAAAACTAATTGGAATTAAATTTTAAAGGTAATTTGTTAAAATATATTAAGTCACTACTAAAATTCCTTAATTTCAGTACAAGTTAATCTCTTAGGAATTAAATAAACTGACTCCATGAGTAGGGTCAACATTTTTCATATAAAACTTGAAAAGTAAAAGCAAAAGCCAAATTGACAATGTCCCTTTTAGAAGATAATAGTGTATAACTTCAGAAGTTATGCTTAAATTGGTACAATATTGGGTAGACTTTTCATTCCAGTTAGCTTGCAGTCAATGCTTAAATGTGAAACTCATCAGCAATGGGTTTTTTTTCAGGTGATTCTGGAAAACAGGGCACTTGTGATATAGTGGGCTTCTTTAGGGTAGAGGGGGATAATTACTTGATCAGTCTGTTTGCATCCCTTCTGTGGGATGACTGCAAGTGCAGTAGAATACTTGCCCACTAGAAAGTAATGTTTTATAGCCCAATCCTCTCTTTTGTCAATGTCTGTGTAAAAGAAGCATTTGAAAGTGTAGAAATATGAATTCTGAGCTCACTACTGTTGGCACAAGGATGCTGGTAGGTGTACCTGGAACTACTATTAACTACATCTGCCCTGGAATCTTTCACCAGAAGTATTGCTGGTGGAAAACATCACTTTGTTACATGTGAAAAATGCCAGTTTCAGTAGCTGTTTGGGTGAGCGAGATTTCTCAGGTCCTAGATGAACTCAGCACCAGAGAACAAACGCCCTTGACCATCTCAAGAACATGAGATACTCCAGGAGTCACAAACCTCTGTTGAGGTGAAAAGCTCTTTAGTTGTGCCTGAGCTTTTGGCATCTCTGGTGCTTGCAGGGCCACTGAGTGCTAATGTCTTGTCTTTACCTGTACCTCCTTGCAAAATAAATACATGTAGATGTGGATAAGAATTTCAGAAGGCATTTGTTCATACATTGCAAGTTGCAACAAATAAAATTCCAATTGGATGTAAGGGGGAAAAGTATTCCCAGGGAGGATGGTGAAGCATGGGACAGGTTGGTCAAAGAGACTGTGACACACTCAAACTTGGAAACTTTTAAAATCTAGTGGGATGAGGCCTGGGGTAATCTGATCTGATTTAGAAGTTAGCCCAGCTTGGAGTTAGGGGTTAAAATAGATGACCTCCGAGGGTCACTTCCAACCTCAACTACTAGGTAATTTTATCTGCCATTCTACTGTGGAGTATGATCTCAGGACAGGGGATCTTTAGCAATTTTTGTGAGCTAGGAAAAGTGCCTGTTAACCACCCCATTAGCTGTATTTTTAGTTGGCAAGATTTAGAAATAGCTGGGTGATTGGTGGTGGTTTAGTGAAATAGTTCAAGGACTACCTGCTCTCCTAAGACTCAGAACTATTAAGTAAAACTGAAGCATTATCAAATCTGTGCGAAGTAGGTAAATGTACCAGTTTTGCAGAAGAGTCCATGGAAATACAGGAGTGGAGATATTTATGCAGGCAATCAGCAGAAAGATGCCTAGGCAGAACCTGGGCAGCCCAGCTTCATGCTGTCCTGTGGGCATTATGAAAGCCTGGGGTGATTCTTTTATACGGTTTATGGAATATTTCTCTTTTTTTACAAAAAAAAAACAACCATACTTTTCAAATCATTCACTCTAACAGCAGAGTCTTTCTGGTGTTTATTACAAAATGCCAAATCAATTAGCAATGGTAATGGGAAAGGGAGTGGGGCCGCAGGTGGCATAAGAAGGAAACCCATCTGTGGAGGGGTCAAACAGAGTTCATTACTATATTTACTCTGCTACTTTTATTTTTAAAAATAAGTTTGGTGCTAATGTGTCTACTTCCAGTAATAAAAGCAAATTTTCATTAAGGGCAAGGATCACTCAGATTCTCATCTGATACAGTGTTTAAACAAAGGAGGAGGATTGTATAGAAAACTGTGTATGGAGATCTGGAAATAACTATAACTCATATTTGATGTTCTGAAACATGCCTTAGAAAACCATTATTGTCTTAGGACAACTGCAGTATTAATTAATTCAAATGTAGACTTAAGCAAGGGGTTGCTTGTGGTGTCTTCTCCTCTGATGCGTGGGCTGCATGGGGGAGTGCCCGCTTCCCTGTGCTTGGCTTGGAGGGGAGGGAAGGGGAGAGAAAAAAAACACTTTTCTTTTTTTCTTCTGCTCATACAGATCCACATCCAGAGAACAGAAGGGTGTGACCACATGACCTGTTCACAGTGTAACACTAATTTCTGTTACCGTTGTGGGGAGAGATACCGCCAGCTCCGGTTCTTCGGAGATCACACCTCAAACCTCAGTATCTTTGGATGCAAATACCGCTACCTCCCCGAGAGACCACATTTAAGGAGATTAGTGCGAGGCTCTGTCTGTGGTGAGTGGATTAATGTTCCTTCTGGAGAGCTGCACAGAGAGGTGATGGGGGGGGCAATAATAGTTAAAAATTATTGGTTTAGTCTATGAGATGGGCAGCCTGTTGTTTAATTATATGGAAGGTAGTTTATTAAATATATTTAAGTATATAGCATTTGCACTACCTGGACTGTGAATGAATAAGTATTGTGTCGTCTTCTGATAGCTTCTGATTCCTAGCCCTTTTAAATAATATCTAAGCAAACTGGAAAAATACTGTCCATCTGCATAATGCTGGCTGTGATCTTTATTCTGAAAGCATATAGGAGAAATGGATAAGAGCAGGAACCCTTTTCAAATGAACCTCTGTCAAGGATTTGTTTGAATAAAGCATTGGATTTGAACCTGACCTGATTCTGAAAAAGCAAACTACTTAGGTTAGCCCATTTAAATAGGAGGACAGTTTTCTCTTAGCTTTGCTTCAGATAAAATCCAACTTAAAACAAAATACGATGATATACATTAATTTATCTTACAGTAATATAATGCCAAAAGCTTGATTTTTTTTTTTTTTTTTTAAAAGGCACTCCTAAGTTGCTTTTGAATTGGGTATATAACCGTCTCACCCTATAGAAGCACAAGAAAAATAGATAACAAAGTAGATTATTACCTTATGTCATACCTTGCATATGCATTAATTTAAGTCATTGTAGTGAGTTTACAGCATGATATATCTATAACATGATAGGAAATGATTGTATTAAGTGTCAAAAAACGGGGACCTGTTAAGGAAAGTAGGACCTTTGGTACTTTGAATTTAAGCTTCAAAATAGGAGATGACTTAGAATTCATCTAGGATGAAGAAATGCTATGAGCTTATCAATTGGTAATGTTGAATGCAGAGGTAAAGGTAAGAGACTGAGTGTGTGGAAATAGCAGTCAGCAGACTTGTGGTGAAAGCAGTACTCCTGAGTCAAACATGTTCCAGTAAATAAACTAGGTAATTTCCATTTTAGAGTAACACAGGCTCATAGGCCTGGTAATAGGAATGCCAGTCTTGCTGATCTGCAAAGTGGTGGGAGACTCACAAGCCTGGAATGCTGTGGATTCCATCACCTTAAATAGTGGAAATTTGACAAGATCTGCTGTCGTTGTAAAACTTGAACAGAATTGAAGGAAATTGAACACCTGTAAAATTATGAAGGGAACACCAAAAAAACCAAACAAAACAAAAACAAGAAAAAAACTGATTGCCAAGGGGAAAGGTCTGATTTTGTTCACAACAGTGCACAATTAGAAATAAGATCTCACTCACTGTGTATTTCCAGTAACCATGGATTTAGACGCTTCCTTAGTTAATGTTTGTAAATGAACCTTTGTTTAATAACTATCAATAAACATATCCTGTACCAACTAATATAGTTCTTAAATTATTTATAGGTTTGCCTTCCATGTTATCTTTGACAGAAGCCAAAGGATTTAACTATGTAGATTTCACTATGTTATATAGAGAAAATATTTTCATCCTTCTGTTGTGTGCTTGTGTGATTTGCTTTTTTAATAGATTGCTGATAATTTTCTTGTTCACTTTTTTGTCATAAAAATGAGTAAATGATAATAGCTTGCTTACCCGCACGTATTTTTCTTTTATAGAGCCTCCATTAGATTCTTCTTTGTCATGATCTTTGATTATTTTTTTGTTACTTTGTTTTGAACTGAAGCTTCTTAGGCATAATCATTTAAGAGCAAGTTGAAAATCAAGAAATTATTAACTCCAGTTAGGAATCATAGCAATGCTCAGAGATGTCCTGGTAGCCAGAACTGTAAATGTAGATACATTAAGGCTTTACCAGGCAAGAGTGGGGTGCTATCATCAGGAGGTGTCACTGTATATTCTGAGGGTCAGCAGAAGGTGTTGGAAAGAGGAGATGGTAGCAGAGAGATAGGTCATTAGAAGCGTGGTCTCTAAATTTAAAGTAACATATAGCAAGAAATAAAGGTTGGATTTCCTGTAGAAAAATGCCTCTGCTACTTAGCTAAGAAGTGGAAATTAAGAGGACATTATCTTGGCTGTCAGTGAGAGAAGGGTGAGGTGTTGCTAGATACATTTTCTTCTGTGACTTCTTATTTTATTCTCTTGCTATGGAGAGGAAAGAATTATTTAACCGAATGTGGTTATTTTGTAGTGAAGGTTATTTGGCTTGTTTCTGCCAAATCTGGGTGGGTGGAGTGTGTAGAAAGGAAAGAACACTTCATGGCAGGCTGGCATGCTGTCATGGGTTCTGTTGAGAAGCAAACGTTTGTGCCTACAATCACAAACTGTTCTGTAAGAAAAATAATGTAAGAGCATTTATGGCATCATAAATTCAAATAAACATTTCTTCATAAGCCAATGGTTTTGTAAAGGTAATAGAAACCGCAGGGAAAAATACATTGGGGGTAGAAGTGGTCTCTGAATTGGACATTTCACTCCCCTCTCTATCCAGCATATTTTTTAGAGAAACTCTGTCTGTGACCAGTATGATGAGGTGAAATTGCTTTTATCCTTCAGTCCCAGTGGACTTAAAAAATTTTGTTCCCATAGTAATTATTTGGCTAAGTTCTTGAAAGCAGGATATTTGGTTATAACTGGAGTTAGTGATGAATTGCACAGAAATAAAAAACATGTTCAGCTGTCTTAAATGTACTTAAGATGCCACTTAAGTGCCACTTGGGTGAATTATATTCAAAATCAATTGCTAGTTACTTCATGGATATGTCACAGGGCGCAACATGTTATGATGCTATTAAAGCAAATGACAATTTCTTGTGAAGTAAACAGCATTTCAAATAGGCTTCTTAAAGCAGCCTGTTTTCAGATCTGGCTGACGTGCACCCTTGTCCCAAGACAGAGTGCAAGATTCACTTTATGTGTGGCTTTGAACATCGCGGAAGGAAGCAACTTTTCATTCATTAGCAACTTTATCATTTAAGTTGTTCTGATTTGTAAGAAGTCTCCTATATACACTTGGTACGATTCTTTAAAAACAGATGCAAACTTGTATTAGAACTTAAAGCTACATAGATATGACTGTTTTGATTTGTAAGTAGATACTTGTAGTCGCTCTGTTGGTTAAACATATAATGATATTTAGACTTGGAAGACAAAACTTTTTATTTCTCTTCTGCTAAACCTAGTATTATAATTTTTTACATGGCAAAGAATTCGCTAAGGATTTCTGTGGTTTTGTATATATTACCCTAAAACTTTCAACCAAACCCAAAGTTATGCCAGGGGAAAATACTCCCTCATGTTTCCTCATTTTGCAGAAAAACATCATACTCTATATCACAAGTAGTGCAACCCCTCTGGGACACCTGCAAATACAGTTATTACATTACCACGAATGTCTAAATCTTCATGCTGAGTAAAGCAGTAGAGAAATAGTTTACCATTAATTCAAGTAGAATTGTTCCTTTTAGGTTTGTTCTATTTACAACTGTTTCTTTTTAAGTTATCTTTAAAAACTAGCTTTGAACATGACCAAACAAATAATCTGTTGCTGGATTCACCACATGGACTAATGACACAAGATTTTATTCAGCTCTGGGGCAAGTTTTACACTTGTGCTCTCGCCAGCAGTCTCCCACTGTGATTAAGAGCCTCATAATCCATCACGCTCTGACAAACGATGTGTGTCAAACTGGAATTGGATCTAGAGTGATGTTCAACTCGGATGTGTAAAATGAAGCATTTTATAATTGTTTCATGCAATGCTGATAAAAATGATTGGAGTCAAAGGTGCGTACTTGCTGCTTTGCAGTGATTGCTGCTGTTTGTACTCTTACCTGATGGTAACTTGTACAAGCACCTTGTGCACCTTGTGTTAAATTATTCCTTCATTTTAGTTTACAAAGGTAAAGAAAGATAAAGGATTTAAGGGTGATAGTATAAGGAGAAAAAGTATTTTGTTTTGTTTTTAAAGTTTTACTTTTAGAAAGAATAAATTGATAACCAAAGGAAGATAATTTTTCCTATAAGATCTTGGAACTACATAATACCCATAATTTCCTATTCACAGGCAGAAGGAATAAGACACTCACTTCTGCTTTATTACAGCTCTGAGTTAGTATGTCAAATGTAAGTAAACAAATTCTTAAACTGAATTAGCTTAGGAACCGTTCTTTGTGTCTGCACAGACAAAAACTAGCTCAGCCCTTTCTGCAGACTCTGTTTCTGTGCACTTGGTCACCAGTTTAGTGTTTTAAGGTTTTTAATCATTTTGGTACCAAATGTCATAATTTCCTAACATTCTAATTACATGGTTATTAATAAAGTAGAGAGTTCATACCTTAAAAGAATATTTTATAAGCTTTACTTTGAAACTATTAAAGGCTTTGGTAATTTTAAAAATGTTTTAAATCACTAATTTTTGGATTTTTCTTGACATTTTCCATCATTCTACATTCCTTCTCCTGTCTACAGTTGAATAATTTATTTGACAACCTCTGTGTGTACAGAATGCAGTGCAGTGGAATCCCAAGAAGGTTTACCTTTAGGATGCCTAGCAACTAGAGTAATACCAATAATATTTGCCAATTTTTTTCTTCTAGGAATTAATCTTTCCCACCCACAGCACTCCTATGAAATTTAAAAGCTATCAAAACAGAGCATAAAAGGACCAATTCATTTAACCGCTGCAAATATTTCCAAAATATCTCATTTTTCCTTCAGACTGCCCAAATTAGTGGCTCAGGTTATGGAGAGGTTTGCATCATTATTGAATGAAGTAATCCATTTACAGAAACCTGACACAAGTGACTTGAGAGAGGGAAGGGCAGGGAAGAGAGAGGTAACAAACTCGGTTTTCTTCCCTTGTAGAGGTGATTTTTCCAAAAACATGCTCATCTTCAAGAATTGCTTAATTCCAAATCCTTGATCAAACTGCTGGTGGATCAGTAAAAAATGCCTGCCCTGCTGCGTTTTCAAACAGCTGAGGCACGTGATGTCTTTGATCCAGCCAACACAGCCAGGGAGAGTCTGCCATTTAGCTGAAATCATGCAACGCAAGAGAGAGAACTTGGATTCAAAGTTGAGTTTCAACATAAGTGTTTCAAATGGAGCCCTGTCTTCCTTCTGTGCACTTCTGCCTACAGTGAACTCATCAGAAGCAAGAATACAAGCATGTTTTAGTTGTTCTTAGTGTCTTATGCTCTAGCTGGTGTGCTGCACAGCCTCCCTGCCTTACTCATGTGCGAGCAGCAACGTATCCGTTTAAATGTTGATCCAAAATAGACTTGGCTGCGGTTTGATTTAGACCTAAATCACAGCTGTACACGAAGGACTTCATCGTAGCCTTTTAAAGCCAGCGGAAGCATATTTAGAGATGATGGTCTCATCTCCTTGAGCTAATAACCTAAACTCTCCAAGATGCTGGCTTCCTTGGCAGCTTTCCAGCGTGGTTGCTGTAGGGTGGGATTCCGGAGAAGCCAAGTGATAGTAGACTTTAGAGCTATCACATTCCTTTCGATGCCAGAGGGATTTCAGAATGGAAACTGTTGAATGCAAAACTGTTAATGTACAAAAGGAGCTGTGCTTGGAGAGTTGTGGTGAGTGAAGTGTGTGCGGGGAGCTGGCTGAGCGGTGATAGCTCCTAGCTGGATTTGTAGGGTGAATTTGCAAATAAGAATCCTGATAAAGTATTAAAAAAGTGAACCAGCTTTTGGGAGTCCGATATTGAAATGTTTATGGATGGTTGGAAAGGAAAAAATAAAATGCTTATTTTAATTTAATGCATTTTCCATTTCAGCTGGAAAATTACTCATTACGCCCCTAATACTGGTTCTGGGACTGGCACTGGGAGCCATAGCTGTTGTAATAGGTAAGAGTTACATATGTGAATGAGCCTGATTCTGATTTTGCAGAGACTTTCAGTATGACATCTCAATATTTTCATCTCAAAGAGAGAATTTCTTGGATACCATTTTAGTATAAAGCACATGACTTTTTTTCTTTAAAAAAAAAACAAAACTGTCTTTAGAGTATTTTTTTTCTCTTACTCTCGTTTTATGCCAATTAGCTTTTTTTTGTTGTTCCCAGTTATTTGGTTGTTAAAGCTTTTCCAAACCAAAATCTTTAACTAGTGTAGATAACCTAGTAAAAAGGCCAGAGTAATTTAAGCATAGTGTTGGGGACTGGCTGACTTGGACCCTCCCTTTAATCACCCCAGTGGATCACAAGTCTAAGTTTTTTGGTCATGTGCATAACAAGATTTTTGGGGCACTAGCTGTAGTGGCAAGTGCCCTCCAGCTTGAAGACGCGACAACACCAACAAGAAAGCAGCAAATTATGATGAGTCAATCTCAAAATCTGACTCAGTATATAGGCTGCCAAATTGGATTCCATCACAAAGAGTGGTACTGTGAACTCATTTGATACAGTATCAAAACTCTGTTAATGTAGGCGTGTTAATGTAGATGTAGTTGTTTTAGCAAATCTGCTCTTTGCCTGGCTTAACTGAATTCTCCTGCAGAAATTAAATAAGCTGTGACTATAAATACATAATTTTGATTGTGTAAGTGCGTATCCACTATTTATGTTGGCAGTAATATGTCAATCAGGGATCATGCTGCTTCACAGCTCTTCACCAAACTACTTACTCTGTTGAAAATTTGCAGTGTGTGCCCAGGCCTGAGGCATGCTGGGATGTGGCACCTTTATTTTGATATAATAAAGCCAAAATCTACAAGGATAGTTACATTGATAAGATTGTACCTAACCAACCATCACATAACCAAAATACCATTATAGCTTTTCTAGAATACATCTGGCCAAATAAGGAATACTGCTTTAATTTCAGTATTTAGGCTAAGAATACGTATCTTTTTTCTGTATCAATATTCTGAGTTGGATTCCCTGAAGACATCTATAGAGAAAGAGATATCTTAAATATTTGTTCTTTAGTGGCAAACTATAGACAATAAAGATTTCTTAATGTCAGCAAAGCTTATTTTGCTTAGCAATCTTGTAAAATCTATGCTGGGAAAAAACCCATTCTTATTCTTACATTAAAAACTAATGGGGTTTTGCAGTAATACAATAGCAGTAATAGCAATAATACCCAATAATACCTAACTGAAGTTCCATCATAGGTATGGCCAGATAAGACACAATCAATGAGAGCTCTATGAGCAGTTCCAAAACCATTGATTATTTATAGGAAAGTTTTGGGTTTTAGGTAATTACAGCAATATTTACTGCCAACACAGCCGTTAAAGTAATCTCAGTATTGTAGCTGAAAACTGTTCTACACCTGGCTATTGAGCAAAGCCCAGGACCCTGGTGACTGTAATAGTCTTTTGTTATAGACTAATATAGACTGTAACTTAGACTGTTGCAGACTATTCTTTTTTTCTGATTGTCCAGATGCCTTGTATGAATTCTCTTGAGGCATGGGAAGCTGCATAAATACTCTACATACATTGAAAGAACATAATGCACATGTGAGGGATTGCATTTAATTGTGATCTTCTTCTTATTTTTCTCTTTTGGCAGGTTTATTTGTGTTTCCTATCTATTGCCTTTGTAAAAAGCAGAGGAAAAGATCACGGACAGGTATGCCCTGGTAAGGATGGACCCTACTCACCTGAACTGAGCTGGTCCTGCAAGGGCTATCCACGCTTTGTGCAACAGAGCAATACAGTGCTGGTAACAGCATCAAAGCCACCGCCCTGGAAGAAGAAGGGGGGATCTCCTGCCATCTTCCCTCAGCCGAAAACACTACTGCAGACCAGAAAGCCTCTTTGCTCTGGTGCACTCTGAACAAGATGGGCCCCCTGACTGCTGCTTTTTAAATGTTTTGGGGTTTGGTTTTTTTTTTATTATTATTATTATTATTATTATTACTCTGGAGGGTTTTTTGAGTCTAAGTTTCTGAACTAGACAATCAAAGTCTGTATTGTAGCCAGAACTCTACTACCGATTTGGCCTGTGAAGAAAGCATTTAACTGCTAACATGTGCTCCGTTTAACTTCAGTGTCGGCCTTTAAGGGGGAAATGCTTAGAAGTGTTTGGACTCTTACTGTATACTGAGCATACTACTTTTGGTATTAAAAACTACTTCTGTAAATAACTTCCATCACACAGCATTCTGTTCAGCATACCAAAACCCCGTCAACATGCCAGAGCACGACAGCTGGTTATCTTCTGAGTCGTCCTGCTAGTGGCCAAGAGTGTGGATGGCCACCGCCAAAATGCAGCGCCTCAGAGGGAAATAGCCTTAGTACTGAAGCTCCATGATACTTAGAGATATGCTGATGGGTTTCACTTCAGTATTTAATTTATGACGGTCTATTAATATTGATTGAGGGGGTGACAGATCTGTTAGAAGAGTACAGCGTTTTGAAACTCTCCCAGTATAGAAAAAAATGGAAGGGTTTAGATAACAAGAAGTGTCAGTGGCCTGTTCTGTCCCAAGATATCCCTGAAGTGTGATGCAGAACGTACAAGGAAATGTGTTTGCAAGCAAGCTGGAAAGCTGCTTTTCTGTTCTGACTTGGCATCTGATACACATGCTACACACTAGTTGTGTGAAGATTGATTTGATCAAATTTTATAACCTAAAAAGCACGTTTTGCTTGTTCGTTCAGCTACATATGTCTTAGAGCATCCACTGATGTCTCATGAGGAAAATCTGTGAGTTTTGGGCAAGGGGAGGGGTCATGAGTTCTTATGAAACCATTTCATTCTTATTCTTTGCTTCCAGTGTTTCTCCTCCTGAGATGATCTGAAGAGAATAGCGATCCTTGCTCTTTTTTCCTAACTTCAGAGTACCACTGTTTGCCACCAGACCTCTTTCTCAGCGCATCATCACAACAGCAGTGTAATTCAGCATTAGGAATCAGCTACTGAGAATTTTTTCACTTTTAGTTATAATCCAAATTTATCGTACAAATATAACTTAAAAGAAAAAAAAATAGTATAAAATAAATTTGTGTAAGCAGAACACTGAAACAATAAAGAAAGGAACTGAATAAGAGAAATATCTACTTTATACTTTAAAAATGCAAGCTGATCTTAAAGAAAAGAAGATTGGATTTGTACTGTGAAGGTACTTTTTTTCGGTATGTGTGTTTGAAGATACATATGTGTGTGTGTGATATATATATATATATCTATATCTATGGGGGGAGGGGGAAGCAGGGAGATGGGCAATGTCCTAAAGACTCTACAGACTTCAGAATTTAGGCCTGTAAATAGCATATCGTTTGAGAGGATGTACTTTGCACCACTTTCTTTGAAAATTGTTACTAAATCTGAATCTAGCTGTAACTTTTAAGTAAATAGTATTCTGTCCCACCAACATAATACTGTTATAAGATACTCGCTTTGACTTCAAAGCCTCAGTGGAAGAAACTGATGAATTTTGTTTACCTGGAAACACAAATATCAGCTTACCGTAGCTGGCTAGTATGCGTATTTTCTGACAGCTTCTGGTTTTGTTTTCTTGGAGTTTTTTCTTGTTGAAACTGTGTGTATAAGCACACCATAGTAGTCAACAAGTACTTAATATTTCCACTTGAATTTAAGGACATGTTGTCCCTGTTGTCCTAACAGTAGAAATAGTACCTTTGTAAGACTTGCGAGTTAAGCAGGGAAGCAATGACATTTAGAAGTAAAGTTCAAAGCCTATTATCAATGCAAAACCACCTGTTAATTAGATTTCTTCTTCTGTGACACATCAGTTTTCTATTTGTGTTCTGTCTGAGGTTGGAAGCTGCCTTAAAATTGGTCTTGTTATTGAGTGTGTTTTCTGAGGCTATACATATCAGTTGTCTTTTTGGCTTACTCAGGGATTTTTATTCCTTTCTTTAAATGTCAAATAATGAAGATATTTTTGTATTATTTAGAAAAACCTTCAGACCTCAGAGAGTGAGAGAGAGAGAGAGATCTGGGTTTGCAATGCTGTCTGTAATATGGTGTCAAACTATTCCACTTGAGAATATTTTAGTACTTGAGATTATCTGTAATTAACTATCTAGTGGATTAATTTCCTTTCTTTTCCTGGTTCTTTATAAATATGTGGAATATTCTTACAGTCTTTGTAGCTGTTTTCACTCTGCCATGTTTGCCATTTTCGGTTTCTGATGGGAGTTCAGTAAAATCTGAAATTAAGGTGCTAAAATAAAGAGCATAAAAGGGAAGATAATAGATCTGCACTTATTTATATTCAGAAAGCGTGTCATTATGGGTGGAGGAAAGGAACACACATCTCAGCTCCGACATTATCATTTCATCTAGGCCATTTTGATTTTATCGGAACAGATTAAATCGAAGGGAAATAGTTCTTCATTTTCCTCACATAGCAAAATGAGGCATCTTTGACCTTGTAAAATGAGAGTCTAATCTTGCTTTCTCTGTAAGAAAAAAAATGGGAATGACAAAAATACTTGCTTTTGGCTTTCTGTAGAACAGGAAGAATTGTCAAGAGCCAGAGTAGAGATATGGGAGTCTTTTTCCATCCATATAAAAATATTCCCACTTGAATACAATTTTCCATCAATATTATGTAACATAACCAACAGAAATGTGAAAAGTAGTTTAGTACAAAACTTCATTCAATAAAATGTTACCTTTTAAACAGCTCTTCTCATATCATAGAAAATCTTATATACATCAAAGTAATTTCATTTGTTTTACAAGAGTTAATTTATCAATTGAAAGAAATGGAATGAACTTCGTTTCTTTCCTTATGTAATCGTCTTTTGGTTTTTGTAACTGTACTCTAAAGAAACCATCAAACTGTTCTACTCCATCTCTGTTAGCAGAAGACTTCATCAGGCAGCTAAATTAACCTGCTAAGGCAGGTTTCGTGCTACTGTATTGCTGATCATCAGGATTGCTTTCACCACATTTAATATTTAAGATTATCTATCCTTGAGCGAAGCTGTTGCTCACCAATAGTAGGAAATGCTTAAATCCTTTCTACATAAGCCTCCTCTTTCTAGCTTGCCTGGAAATGGGCCGGCTGGACACACCAGTCGGGGGGGGAGCTGTTTTCACTTTCTCTGCTTTCTCCACTAAGAGTAATTAGTTGTATTTCATTAATTGGGTCAAGTTTCAGGGCTGCTCAAGCGCATCAGTGGCAAGATGAGTCTGACTGCAGCCTCTTAGAGCATGGTAAGGTGTATTTGCCGAGCTTATCCGGGAGCTTGCGACTGGAAAATAATTGTGCTTTTCCTTGTGTCAGTCTATTAGCTGGTGAGAAGAAGAAACAGAGTAAAAATCTAAGTGAGAGGCAGAAGTGGAGTTCTGAGTAGCTTGTGTTCTAGTTGACCCATCAGTTTTAGTTGCATACAAAAAAGTCTGTTACTCTTCAGTTCTCACCTCCTCTATAATAAACAGCATATTCATGTCTTTCAAATGTCATTAAAATATAGTGCACTTTGAGTGATCTATTATCTTCCTTTGGGGCAGTGCAAATGTGTAAGTAAGGGAGGATGTTACTAATGCTGACTTTATAACTCTTCCTGGTATGTTAGGGTGTTTCTTTTTAATTTCCATCTATTTATTGGTTCTGAAAATTTGAGCAACGTGATGTTTTACTTTATTAAAAATATTAATTTGCGGGGACTATTGCCAGTTTGACTAGAAGGTGTTTTGGATCACCGTCAGGTATTCTTTTTAGCCAAGGGGCTTTCTGCTCTTCCAAAGACTGCCATAGCTTGTGTGATGTTAAACGGTCTGTAGGTAGGCCAGTAATTCTGTCAGAGGATACAAATTCTCCAGTGACTGAATGGTTTCTCATGCCAGTGAGATCTGAGAAACTGTTTCATATTCAATGGCCAAACAGTTTGCCATGCAGACTCTGAGGTTTTTTTTTTTTTACATGTAATTGTGGTGGCTTGTTTCTTGAGCAAAGCTTGCATCAGCCGTAATACTTGGTATGGTGATTGTGTACATCTAAGTTGTGAAAAAGAACCATGGATTAGTGTTACTTTTACAGCCTATGTTAGATCTCTAATTTTGCTGATGGGAAGAATCCTACCCAAGGAAACTATTAGATAATTTCTTTTAATTTTGCCGCCTTATCGTTACAGCAGATCAGCTCCATTCCTGACACCAGTCATAGCCCTGTTAAACCAGAGAAGTCATACCCATTTTTATGCCAATATGGAATTTGGCCCCAAATACTTTGATAAAAATATCTGCAAGCATGTTGATAGCCATTTTACAGCAACTTGAAAATGTAATTCACTTCTGAAGAAATGCAAACTACTATGGAGCCAGTCCTCTAACTCCCAGGGTGATACTAGTGCTATTTCATAGGTGCAGGAGAGGGCAGGGAGTAGGGAAAAATTTCCAAACATTCTTATTAAAGCAAATTGTCAAAGGAATACTGGCTTTTAATATAATAAATAGACCTTCTTAATGTTTTAGTTATCGGTAAAGCTAGAAACAACATCTATAGAGTGTTAAATAACGTCTTAAAATTCTGCTTTCTTCAGTGTAACAGGTATTAACACAGTGTAAGAATTTGACTTACAGCTACTAAATATTTTTCAGACTTAACACATAAACTTGAAAAAGAGGGCACACAAATATTTAAAAAGCTGTATCACTGATGTATTTGGTGGCTTGTCTTGCTACTGTTATGTGAAGAACCAGCTGAGCCTTGATTCAACTGCAGGACTAGCAGTGTTTTCACTTAAGTACTTCTCAAGCTGTAACACAACAGCCCCCAATGTTTTTCTTAATAAAACTAACAAATGCAGCTTGTTTCAGTTACACAGGACTGTACCTTCCTGGCTGATCCATCCTTATCATTCTGTGCTCAGGATCTATACGTTCACTGACGCTGCTCTTAGCCTGATGGTGAAATACCATAAGGTAGGGAAATGAAAACTGATCTTAGAGTATGCGCTCTGATTTCAAAGGTGAAAATGTGTAGTAAGCTTAAATTACTTAGTTCATAGTAAAAAAGAAACACAAACTCCTAAGCATAATTCCAGCTGCTTATTTCTAAATATAACTTTTTTTTTTAAAAAAAAGAGTAGTTACAATAGCAATTAGTTTATTTAAAAATGCAGACTGTGGAAAAGAAAACATTTTTGGAGCCTATTTGGCTTATCAAAACTTGAAAAATTAATCTGAAGTGCTTTGGATGAATCGGAGTCAGAAAAGGAGAAATTTATTGTGGAAAAATGTTTTATATATCTTTAGCATAAGCATGGATTTTGCACATACCTGCTTAAACACAGCTGCATGGTAACCCCATTCAGTGTTTATCTTGTTGAAAACTTGTCAGACTGAAAACAGTATTGTTGAAATTTTAACCTACTGTCACTGAGCATGATGATACTAATACGATGCCACACTTACCTCTTTTAGAAGGAAAACCTACTTACGGAATCCAAACAAGCTGTTCAGATATTTTAAACCTGCCCTGTAAAAGTGCTGATCCAGTCAAGAAACATTTTCTTGCCTTATGCAAGTTCTGGGTGAGCAGATGGATTCAGTCTTTAGTCATGAACTATCTTTTTGCAAAAAAAAAATAATGCACTCTTAAGAGTTCGTCATATTAATTTACATTCTGCTGCTTCCTGTCCAGAAATTGCATGGACAGGGGTAGATTTACATTTCACAGTGTTTACGATCTCATCCTAAAATGTTTACCATATTTCCATTTGTTATACACTTTATTTCTAATGCTCTTCTTTTCTTTCCAATTTCCATAATTTCAAACTGACGTGTGAAAATGGCTGAAGATGAAATTGGACCTGGAAAATGTGATCTCATAAGAAGTCATTTCAGTAATGCTTTGCTTTAGCAGCAAAAGATTAACTCTGTTTTATTTAAATTACCTAAATGCAAAATGCTGAAATCTGGTTTTCTTCAGGGCTTCTAATTTTGCATTTTTTTGAAATATAATTAAACAACACAGTTGTCTTTGCTACATAACTAACCAACCAAGTCCAAATAACTTTTTAAGGTATTTGTTAATTCTTTAGACTATGGTAGAGATGAGAATAATAAGTGTGGAAAGAAAGAAAACAATCTCTGTTTCTGAGGAGGTTGTCCAAGCTGAACTTTATCCTAATTCCATGACAATTCAATGAGAAATCTTCTCCTGCCCCCATCTCTTTTATATATTTTAAGATGAATAATTGCCTTTAAAATAGGGTTAATTTGAATGGCAAGAGGTCAGGGTAGTGAGATGAAGAATCACATCCTTTTTAGTGTACAGGCTTGTGGCACAACTAGAGTGCTGGACAAAACACTGTGGATTCATTAAAAAACCAATTTCTAAGACCACGTTTGGGCTATGTACACGCCAGATGCATCAGTGATTAGAACTTTCTGTAGTATATTTATTCGATGACTAAGAAGTTACAAGAACTGGAGGTAGGCAATACCCATGTAATCAGTGCTTGAATTCCAGTATTCAGTGTGTTTTGTAAAATGAGAAATTATAAACGTGTAAGTGCCTTATTGCTTGAAAGAAATGAAAGGTGTTAGTTCTCCTCCATAGAGCAATATGGGAATTCCTGTTACGTGGGCTCCTACAGACAGACATATTAAGCCAAAGTAACCAATACTGGTTTGCTCAGAAAATTGAAAAATGTTACATTAGTGAAGAAGTTACAACTTTATGAATTATCAAAGTAATCTGCCATGCCTGTTTTAAATCTGATGATCTCATTTCTGAGTTTTTTTAACTTGCTGTTCACCTCTCTTCCCGTCTCTCCCTTCAGACTTCTGCAGAAATGCATCTTTATGTGCTCTCAGAATGAGTTTGGTCTTCCAGCGTAGCCAGCTAGGAGTTTTTAAACCACTTAAAGCAATGCAACTTTTCAGAGAAGATAATTCAGCTGAAGTTAAGTTAGACCACAGCCAGTGGTATGTTGTACCCTCAAACTCCAGGGCTCAAACGGGCCCTGTTGGCACCAACTCATGAAGATGGAAGCCCTGAGGACCGTGGCGCACAGAGGTGCACTGTAGCTGGGTTGGGACTCAGTTAAACAGCATTTCGGTGCTAGCCAGCTTGAACTAATATATATTTTTAATGGAAGTTGGTAATTCCTGTGGGGTGGGTATCTTGATGGACTAAACCATCAAACAAGCTTGGTGGAGCAGCTCTGGGATCTCTGCCCAGCTCTTCATTGCATGGTGGAAGGTATGATCAGAAAAAAACTAGTATTCATTTTACCTTCTCCAGATAGCTTCAAAATGGATACTGTAGGGTTTATTTCTTTTTCTGGAATTATTTCCTTTCCGAGAAGACAGTAGAATTTTATCTTTGGTCATCTAGATTTTCCAAAGGACCTGTTTTTTCTTACTAATACTGCTCCCGCTTTTGTCCATCTATTGGAAGTCAGGTGCCAATAAAAAGTTGCTTTTCTAAAATTATCTTGAATTATATGAACTTCTGTTAGAAATTATCTTTTTAAAAATACTGCATTTATATAAAGGTAATTATTAGAAGGAAGTTGGCTTAATAAAGGGGAGGTAAATTAAAAATTATGCTTAGAAGGTCTGTTTATAGTAAATTCATCATAAAATGGTTTTGCTGTGTTCAGTTTCCTCCAGTAAAAATTTGTGAAGGAAGGAAGGAAAAGGAGAGAGAAATGAAGATGAGAGGAATATTTCTTGGAACCTTTTCATCTCCTGAAATTTGTGAGTTTTCCAGAACTGTAGGAGGGGCTTTTCTTTTCTTTTTTTTTTTTCTTTTTTTTTCTCCCCTACAATTCTTAATTAGTAATATAGCTGTTACTTGCAGCATTATTTTTTCATGAAATATCACACAGGAATGTTTAATCAGGAAATAGCTTGCATACCTGAAGTTTTTGGTGACAGGGAATTTGATTTGGAGCCATACTGCAATAAAATTATAACTAAATTATCACTCTTACAGATATCTTAATAACTTCTATTTCGGTATTATCTCCAGTTCTTAGGTATTAACTAAGGCATTGTATAACTCATGGAATCAGAGGCACCATGTATCAAAATACTACTTCAGTCTTATGAGTTACTGTTTATTTTTAAAAGTTATTTCCTTAGATTACATTCTTCTCTCTTACAACCAGCAGGCACACGGTCAAAATGCTGATAAGGCTTTTCCATTATCTTTCTCTTGCATTTTGCTGATTTTTTTTTTTGTTTGTTGCATAGTATTGCAACAAGGGTCTTCGTGCTGTAACTTGACAAAAGTATTTGATAGTCTTGGGCAATATTTTACAAAGAATTCATCTTCAAGTTGGTATTTTAAATGTATACCAGTAAGCACTGTTGAGTGCTACCTTTGTGGCTGCTTTAGTTCACGTCAATGTTTTGTAAGGATTATTTCTTGCTACCCTCTTCAGAGTGCCTTTTTAATTTAGGAGGTCCAGAGACGGTTTGCTGAAGTTTTCTGTTGAATCTACCATAGTAATATCTGATTTTTAAACTTGTCCTGATGAATGTATAACTGAAATCATGTTCTTTAAAAAGCTATAGTAGACACAGTCATATATGCACACGTACATGCATGGATACGAGGGAAGGTGTTCTGCCAATGTTTGTCCTGCTGGACAGGACCTTTTGAAAGTAAGTGAATTTTTTAACAGTTTTATTTTCAAAATGTTACCTCACTAGTATTCAGTAATAGGTATGTCTCTGTACTGCTTCACTTTGCTAAATGCAATCACATTTGTGGTAGGCAGTTTAATTTAAAAGACTTTGCGATGAAATCTGGTGTCCGTATCGTGAAGTTCGTAAGTAAAACCTTACGGTACTTCATTTCCTTTTAAAGGCATTCCTTCCGCTTACACTGATATCCCAAGCCCCTGTTAACCAACAGACTGAAAAAGTGCTTCCCCGTGATGAAATGGAAGAATGTAAAGTAGCATTTGAATGCACTCCACCTGTCTTGGAACCGATATTCAGAAATAGGCGGATGTTGTGGATTTAATGAACTGCGGGAAGATATATATTGTAGAGTTCGTTCACTTGCACACAAGGGGTTTTACAATGTCATCTAGTAACGTCTACCTAATAAAGTTTTGAAAAAGAAAAATAAAACTTGTCTGAATGTTCAGCTCTTTCTTTAAACAGTTGGCTGCATGAATGATACTTGACCACATGCAGGGAGTATTACTTAAATCCATGATCTTTTTTTTTATGATTCTTACATAATCCTATAAAAATCCTACTGAATGATTTAAACTTCAGAATCTTTGTGTTCACACTGTATTACAGTCACTTCAGTCTTTAACTGCCTTACCGCTGAAAATAAAACCAGATGTAAAAAGCCAGTGTACTCTGATGAATATTTTTATGTTAAAATACTCCCTGCTATATGGTATCATCTCTGGGCTACTGCTCTCATTTTCAAAAGCATCTTAATATGGAACACAAGATTTTACCTTCTCATGATATGTTAAAATATTAGCTTAAAATAACCCAATTCAAAATGAGGAGGAAGTAGCACTGGAATCCAAATTTCCCATTCCCTTGTTGTACGACCTCCTGGAGCTTCAGCTCTTTCAGAGACAGTTTTTAGAGAAAGCAGTCTGTAGCTGTAAATTTGAAATATGTAATCCATTAATTGAACCAGGTGCCCCTTTCTCTGGAAAGGAGCTGTTTTCAGTTTCTGTGCTTTGTAAACTGACAATATTGATGGAATGTTTTGTCTGATGTGTTAGGGATTTTTAAAGAGTGTGCCTAATTATGAAATTGCATTTGCATGTTCATGCACAGGCAGACAAGGTAGCACACTTGCCTGCGGTTTGTTTCTGTAGGAAATAAAGCTGAAAAACAATTCACTGCAGTGAAATACGCAGCAAAAATCTTGAGGTCTGTGCTGGGTACCTCTAGTCAAGGACAAGCCTTTCAGCCCTCGCCCCAGCCCCCTCCAAAACAGTCAAGATTTGCAACCAAATGTCAAGGGCATCATACCAGAGGTTCCTTATCTGCAGGAATTCTAGCGTGCAGCCTGCAGCAGTGGAAGAGTGCTCAGGAGGCCAAAGAAATCAATATCCCTACAGCTCAAAGTGAAGTTAAAGGCTAACTTCTCACTTGCAATCTCAAACCATTTGACAAAAGACAGAAAAGCAGATTTTGATTTTAAACATGGTATTTTTCTAAGTAAATAGGACTAATGCTCTCCACAGAGATTACAGATACATAACCACAATTTTTAGATGCTTGCCTTCAGATGATTGACATGTGCCTTTGTGCGCACTTGAAATAGTGATTATAGATAGGTGTTTTCCTTAAATCATTAATGTATTTCTGCCTGCTCAGAAGAAATTGAAATAGATAGGTGTTTTCCTTAAATCGTTAATGTATTTCTGCCTGCTCAGAAGAAATTACATTTAAGCATTAGTAATTAAAACAAATTAAAGTTCCAAAATTTTTGAATAAGTATTTTAATTTCTTGTGCATTTGCTTAGTAGTTTGGCTTCAACTGCAAAATGAGACACTAATCTGTTAGACTGGGATATGTGAAATACTGGCTAATAAGAACAGAATTAGAATTGGCAGCCACGTGGGTAAAGCTGTCATGCTTCGGAAAAGTCAGCGTGCCTTTTATAAAGGAGCCTTGCCTTACCAACCACAAAGTTTATTTGTCAGGTCAGTAAGTCATCTTGTTTACATGGTCTATTTGACTTTCTAGAAATCTTTGTTGGAATTCCTTACAACAAGCCTCAAATGAAACTAAGTAGACATGGACTAAGAAAGAGGATCTCACCATGTGGACAATATGGACATTATGTGACTGGAAGATACAAAGCAGTTGGAATAAATATATTTTACAGTGAAGGGAGGATGCCAGTTGAACTCTACAGAGATCTGTGCTTGGACTTTGCTTGTGAACAGAAGTGCAAATGATGTGAAGAGAAAAAGGTAAGTGATAGAGTAACAAATTATGCTAATGAGGGAGAGTTACCCAGAACAGTAAAGATGAGAGCTAGTAACAATGATCAAATGAATGGGTTTTGGACAACAAATGAAATAGAGGAAGTGTCTTCAGCATGGGAATGATAAAACTGATGCGTAATGGTGATCATGTTTGTTACAAAGGTCTCTGTATTTGAGTGATGCAGGAAACACAAAATAGTGACCGAGTATTCCTTTACCTGAAGAGATGGTGAGCCAGGGAACATCAAATGAGGGTAGCAGAAGCTGTAAAAAAGAAAATGGGGGGATCTTGATGCAAACAGTGAAAGACAGGTGGAATCTTCTGACAAAAGGATATTGTAGATGCTGAGGGCTGAAGTGAAAACTAGAGCAGTTTACAGAAGAGAAATTTGTGGCAAGTTCACCAAATGTATAGAAACCCTTTTTGGCTCAGGAAGTCTTCGAGTCAAAAATGTTTGGAGGCCTGGACAGCAGTGGATGGGTGTATTTTATTGCTGTATCTTGCCTCCTTTCCCAGACGTGGTTTTGCTTACTGTCAGACAGGATATTGGGCTTCCAGTGTTTTTGGGTCATCCTCTTTTTATTCTTATATTGAAAGTCAGTAGGTAGGGGGGATGTGATAGTAGATCCCAGCAGTGATCCATTGAGGAAGGTGAGGAGGTGGCCTCTCCCATCCTGCTTAGCTGTAGAAAACATTATCCTAGTTCTCCTGAGGTAGAGCTGGTGGATAACATACAGATTTGCAAATTTGAAAAGTGGTGCAAGTCTGTTCACTTTGTTGTGTACTGTTCTCACCATCACCAAATTTTGTTCCTCCTGATCTGAGCAATGTTTTTGCCTCAACCTAATTCCACCTAGCTTGTCCACTAACCCTCTTTTGGATGCACTCATGGACACCTCAGCCTTTCCCAGGCTGTGTTTTCCCTATTCCTTAACACTTCCCCTACTGGAATACAGAAACAATCTGAAGTTAAGCTTTGTTTTCACGAGCCTGTAAGGGTGATGGACACATGTAAGTCCATGTTCTATGCTGGCCCAGACTTTGCTTCCTTAACCAACTTGGGCATAAATAAATAATACTGCTTCTCTCCAGAAACATTTCTCTCTCAATGAGACAGCTGCAATTTTAGGTGCCTGTTGCCCACTTTTGTCTACCTCCTGTTTCATCAAGCCCTTTTTATTTTGTAAATGAGGGTTTCTATTTTATTCTCTTTCACGCTGAAAAATGCTGGATAATCTCCCAGCAGATAGGAGGAAAAGTGCAGTAACTCAAAATAATAAAGCCAATTTAATGTCACTTTATCTTGGAAAAATCCCCGTATTTGCTTTTTTGGAATAGCAGTGTAGAAGCAAGTGCTCACCCATGTGTTCCTTTCCTGCCTGGCAGTAGCAGAATGACTACCTGACTATAAACTTGCCTGTTGTTTTGGCCCTGTAGATGAGTATCCACAAAGCTTTGGTTCAGCAGGAGCTGTGCAGTGCACCAAAGTCTGTCTCCTTACCTAGATGGAGATTAAACCCAATAAGGTAAAAAGTTTTCATTCAAAACCCTATACAGTTCAATATAACTATATATGGAAAAAGCTTTCTTATTCAGCCTGATTATGTTGGCAAAGATGTGAAGCCTTAGGAGACAAAGCACTTCATTTTGCTAAATCTCTCATGCTCGTGCCTGCCTATTTTATTGACAGCCCACCGTGCCAGAAAAAGGAAATGATCAAGTGGCTTAAGAGATGTGACATTAGATTTATTGTGTGTTAGTGGTTTACATCATGTTTAAGTAATATTGTGTGACACGGTCTTCTGTAACCAGGCACTTACTGAATTTGTGCAGGAGTTAAGGAAAGTTAAAAATGACCCAGTAGAAGAACAGCACATCAACCATATTCATTATTATAAATCGAATTAAGGCACTTTTATGAGACATTTTGCATGTAATAAAAAGGAAAAAATGTAGCCATTTCACTGAATAAGAATATTGTGCTCTTTGCTCATGAACAGAAAACTAAATTGGAGTAGACATAATCACTGGAGTACTGTTCAGAAATGCATTGAAATGGGATAGGGTCACTGTATGACTGGCCTCAGTGGATTTGAAGGATGCGAGGTATTTTGTAAAGGGTGCCATGTACCTGGGAGCCTAGCGACAGCCTGATCTGTTTGAAGAATGTTCCCCAAACTCATATTTTAAAGGGGAAGGATCTGCTTGAAAAATGAGTGTTAAAAGCATGTATCTTTGAGAGATTTTTCAAAATAATGGCCTATAATTATGTTTTCAAAATAGAGTTTAGCCAGATGCATACTCCGCATTTTATCGTGCATGAGTTCAAAGGTAGTTGAAGTTAGTGTTACCTCCCTTTTTTGTGTGTGACTGCACAAGACAGATGTATTCACCCACCACAGGATTCTGTTGACCCCTCAGAGATTTTTATCAGAGGCAACGTACCTTAAGCGGTCCTTAACACATCAGTGCCTCAGCACGGAGGCTCTGGCTCTCTGCAGACCTGACCTAGCCCATCAGAAACAGAAATTGTTGCCTGCTTCATTTCTGGGCTCTGGACGTGTTGCTGAGCCAGAGCCACAGCATAAATACTGCGCCTTGAGAAGCCTCAGATACCCATTGATGTAGTTTAATACGGTGTGTACAAAAAAAAGCTGCTCCCTGGGTAAGTAGTGATGAGCCACACCAGATGTGGCCAAGTGGTCTGAAATCTAAATTAATCCCATTCCTACTTACCCTGAAGAACCAGGATCTTTCTAGAGCAACTCACAGGAGCCAGGAAGGGCTCTTAGATGGGAGCTGTGAAGCACCCGTTGGGAATAAACAAGCGTAAGTGTCAAGACCAGCTGGAAACGGTCCATCACTCCATTATTTATTCTAGAAATTGCCTTAGTAGCAATTTTTTTTTTAGACTGATGCATTCTTTTTATAGAATTGCCCAGGCCGGAAGGGACCTCCAAAGGCCATCTAGTCCGACCTCCCCACAGTCAGCAGGGACACCCCCAACTAGACCAGGTTGCCCAGGGCCTCGTCGAGCCTCTCCTTGAATATCTCCAGGGATGGGGCCTCAACCACCTCCCTGGGCAACCTGTTCCAGTGCTCCACCACCCTCACAGTAAAGAACCCCCTTCTAATCTCCAATCTAAATCTGTTCCCC